AATAAAAAGATTCCCCATCTTGACCCACATGTTCTGGTTTTGCTTTCCCCACCACTTCCCATACTTTCCTATATTTCCCTGGGGGTCGACGATGAATTGTGTCTGTGTGTGTATTTTTCCCCTCCTGGTATTGGTCTGGACGGACACGATCCCGTTCGACCTGCTTCTTCCCCTCTGCTGCTACAAGGGGTGCTCTTCTTGGGCAACATGCTGCATCTTGCCGACCATCGCCCCTGGAGGGCGAGGACGCTCTGCTGATGCAGCCGATGAGTGGCCAGCCTCTGCAGGGGGGGCGGGTGGGGGACAGGACAGGGGAGGAGGAGGAGGAGGAGGAGGAGGAGGAGGATGAAGAAGAGATGAGGAGGAGGAGGAGGAGGAAGAGGAGGAGGCGAGGGTCAAGGGCATCGGCGCACCGACGCATACTTGTCCGCAGCTTCGAGTTTCGAGGAAGGAGGAGGAGGAGGGAAAGGAGGAGGAGGAGGTGGAGGAGGAGGCGGAGGAGGAGGAGTATGGAGGAAAAGGACGGATGAGGGAGGAGGGGGGAGGGAGGAGCAGGCTGGAGGAGGAGGAGGACGAGGAGGACGAGGAGGAGGCTGCAAGAGGAGGCAGGAGCAGGCGCAGCCTCATGTCGCTTCCGCGGCGTCGATTGATCCGTCGTATTGTGGCGTCGTTGCGTATTGCTCCCCGCCGCCCCCCCCCGCAGCACGCAGGGGGGCAGCGCGGCCTCCCTGCGCTCCCCGCGGGCGTGCCAAGGCCGTGCCGCTGGCCGCCCCCTCAGGCCTGCACGGGCAACGCGACGACGGGGTAGCCGATACGCGGGCAGCGCCGAGGGGGGTCACCACTATACAGTCGGGGCGTTGACCTAAGGAACCCTAAATAAGGAACGAGGCCCCTTTTTTCCATGAGTTAAATTTCGATTTCCGATCAAAAACACAAGGAAAACCTGAGGCAAGCTGTGAAACACTTAAGGAACGAGGAGCCCCTCCCCAACCCAAAGGGCTCCTTCTTCAGGGCCCCGACTATACGGCCAAAACCAATAGCAAGGGTGCACGGCAAGGATCCAGAGAGGAAGGAAAAACGGCACAATCATAAACCTTCGGCGCTCCGAACAGACTTCTCGGAGCTGCGCTGAACCCCCCTCCCTGGCGCGCGAAGCGCGCCGGAGGCGCCGCCGGGGGCGCCGCCAGGGGGGCCCAGCGCCGATGCAAGAAATCCACGCAGGGCGCCGAACACGTATGTTCATGTGTCTGTGTCCGTCTTCGGGTGCGAGGGCCGTGTAGGGCCACGCCGGCACTTCTCGAGCGGGGGCGCGGCCGGCGAAGGCGGCCCAGGACGGGCCGAGGGGGCAGGGATGCCAGGGTAAGTCTGCAGAGTCGCTCATCCTCACGATCAGTGCTGACTGTACAGTATCTGCGGTCGTGCCTCCTGGCACGCTGAGGCCAGACACTCCCTGGACTGTCCCGGCGAATCGGGAAAGGAGGGCAGAGATGGAAGAACACGACGACCACGACGACACGAAGAGATCCTCCGAGGCGGCGCGGAAGAGTGCAGCACATGTTGCGACTCTCCCAAGCCTCGCGGCACGAGGTGTCCCGCGTGACGGCCTCCCGTGCTCCCCCGAGGAATCGCCACCCAAAATGCTGGGCTGGCACGGCGGCGGAACTTGCACGGCGGCGGAACTTGCCGCAGTCAGCTGGACATGCATACACGAGACTGAACTATGCTGTACGGAATCCCAAGAGATCTGGGGGCACATGTGTCGACGATCACCGAATTTGCCGCGGTGCCCCAGTGCTTCTGCCGGTCCCTGGGGTCATCGGGGGAGCGGACATTCCTGCGGGGCACCTGCGGGCAGGCCGACCTCTTCTCGGGCGTGACTGCTGCAGAGGGGGTCGCCGCCGCCGCCTCGAGGAGGCAGGCCCCGCTCGGGACCCAACGCAAAACCCCACAGGACCGCCCCGAGGCGCCGAAGATCGTCCACAAAATTCTGGCCAAAATGCCCAATCAGATTTTTGTTGGGGCAGTGGGGCTATATGGGCTATACGGCTATAGGTGTATAGTGAGATAGGGCTATTGGACTATTGGGCTATAGGGGCTATAGAACCTTAGGGCTATAGGGTTATAGGGCTATAGAGCTATAGGGCTATAGGGCTATAGGGCTCTAGAGCTATAGGGCTCTAGGGCTCTAGGGTTATTGTGCCATAGTGATATACGGCTGTAGGGCTATAGGGCTATAGGGCTATAGGGCTATAGGGCTACTTGGCTATTGGGCTAATGGGCACCCCCGGGCACCCGGGCACCCCCGGGCACCCAGGCACCCGGGCACCCGGGCCCGGCCACCGAAATCGGCCACGCACCTCGCCAGCCACCCGGGCACCCGGGCACCGCCGGGCACCCGGGCACCCGGGCACACGGGCCCGGCCACCGAAATCGGCGACAAACCTCACCTAACCCTTGAACCCGCTAGGACCCCTACAATGGCAAGCTTTGTTTGGGGAAA